AACTGACATTTTAAAAGATCCCCCACGGCGAAAGAACGTCGAATGACAATTTAAAATTTCAAAAAGAGTTAAATATCTCAAATATTATAAATGTCGTATAATATGTACCAGATTTAATATTTGGTCCAATTTTTCCATATATTAAAATGGTTATCAGACGTTGACTATGCCCTAAAAAAGAAGTTTTTCAGTTGCTTTCAGGCCCTTTTTTTGGAATAATCTTTTTATACCCTACACCACAAAGTGGTCAGGGTATTATGTCTTTGTGCATTTGTTTGTTACAGGCAAAAGGAAACGAGATAGACCCGTAGTTCCTTTTGATGATCTGTATAGAATCACTTTCTGAGTTGATTTATGCATATCAGTCCGTCCGTCTGTCCATGTATTCATGTGAACAAAATTCCGGTCGCATTTATTATCCGATTGAGATGAAATTTTCCAAACAACATTTGTTTGGCCCAAGGACGAACCCTATTGAAATTGGAAATAATCGGTAAAAATTTAGTTATAGTTCCCATTTATATCTTCGTCCGATTTGCCTTTTATTGTGCACCAAACGTGTAATAATAGCCCGAAAAGTATGAAATTTTACACATATAACCATATTAGGCCAGAAAATAAGTATGCCAAATTTGATCGAAATCGGTTCAGATATAGCTATAGCTACCATATATATTGTAATATGCACTCTGTAACAACAATATTTGGGGAAATATATCAAATGCAGCTCAGAAATACCTTTGCTAAATTTTCCAGATCGGTTCAGATTTGGATATAGCTCCCATTTACATCTTAGTCCGATTTGCCTTTTATTGTGCACCAAACGTGTAATATCAACCCAAATGGGATGGAATTTGTCCTAGAAGGTAGTATGCCAAATTTGAAGATCGGTTCAGATATAGCTATAGCTCCCATATATACTATACATCCGATTTGTTGTATTTCTTACCCACAGCCGTAATATGCACTCCGTAACAACGATATTCAGGGGAATATATCAAATACAGCTCAGAAATATCTTTGCTAAATTTTATCAAGATCTGTTCAGATTTGCATATAGCTCCCATATATATTTTCGGCAAATTTTATGCCATTGAAACACCAAACACGATTCGTATCTCCAATTTCAATGAAGCTTGGAATGTTTAACGGAATTTGAAATAAAAATAGATTTGCCCTATTGTATTGAAATCGATTTAGATTTGTATATAGCTCCCATATATATTTTCGACCGATTTCATGTATTTGATATATATCAAATTTCAATGAAGTTTGGAATGTGTGACAGGATTGGGCTAACTAGGCTAACAATAAAAAGGCTACGCAACAACTTAATTGATGCTACGATTATTACAGGAAGTTTGTATATTGATATGTATTGCTACCTAGAATGTCTCGATGTATATGGGAACTATATCCAAATCTGAACCGATTTTTATAAAAGTTAGCAGAGGTATTTCTATGCTGTGTCTGATAGTTGGCTTCAAATACCGTTCTTGTGGATAGTATTTTACGGCTGTGAGGTAGTAAAATACAAAATCTGATGAAGAATATATGTGGGGGCTATAGTATGTATTTTCTAATTTGGATGCACCAATCTTAAGCACAATGAAACTGCAACAAGACATTTCTCTTAATTTTATTTTAATTTCCTTTTATGATAATATTCCATGACATATCTTTAATACTGGCACAATATTCGATATAATCCTTATATCGAAAAATATTTTATTGCTTTAATTGTTTATTTATTTAAAATGCTCTGAAATTTATGGCAACCATAAAATATTGAAGATGTTCGAAGAAGCCAGAATTGCAAATCACAGAATAGCATAGATATCCTTGAGAAATAATCTCCTCTCGTTTGCTTGTGTTAAGGTGCCTTTATTGCACATAAATATTTTTACAGATTTCAGCTGAGCATATTTATATTTCCTTTGTAATAACTGAGAAATATTTTCTTGCAGTAAAGCTATGCCATCTATTTATCCATTCTATTTAGAGGGCTCCTTCTACGTTTTTCCTTGATATCTGTAATTTCCTTTTTAAGAAGGCTACTCTACAACCGCACACACACACACACACCCACATTCACATAGAAATTTATAAATATTTCAACTGAGGGGCAAGGAAATAGGAAAACGAAAACACATTCCTGGTATGCGAGTGGGTGTCTGTGTGTGTGTGCGTATGTGGGCAAAATGGTGTGCACGTACATAGACCAGCTATTTTTTTTATTTGCTATTTATTGGACTATTTCATTTTAAATGTCAACAAGTCGTAAAACATTTAAATCACATTTTAAGTCGATACTCAATGACATCATTTTATCACACAATCGGCTGTGTATGTATATATGTATGTATCTCTCTGTGTGTGTGTGGGTGAGTGAGTGAAAACAGCAAAAATATGGAAGTATGTACCACATACTTAGACATTCATTCACTCAGTTCTGTGGGAGTGTGTGTTTGTGTCTGAGTGCCTTTAAGATCACATAACAATTGAGTATTTGATTTACAAATACATTCTCCTATATATAAATTCTGAGAAATATAGATGTCAGAGGAAAAAATATCTAGCACATTTTTTTCTCGATAGCAAAGAATTTATTCCCTGCGAAGATTGACAAACGCCCAAAAATTTGCTGTCGAACATGAAGAAATCATCAGTATTGACAGCAAGACACAACATCGAATCGACAACAAGACACTCATGCGAAAGCAGTGGAAATATTTTAGATTCGAAGGACATACGAAAATTGCCCCAGATATACAGTGGCTCTTGGGCATGATTATTTTGTTGGGCAGATTTCATAACAAAATATGGAACCCACCGTCTTCTATTTAAATTAGGCTTTATACAAAATCATCAAATATATATTCTTTTGATCGCCTTTACAATATTGATCAATGCGTCAATTCAGTCTGTCTAATAATATCCTCAACGACTTATATATAACTGAATTCTTTATCTGCTTGAATACACCATTTCAGCCATTGATTTTGATCCAAATGATCGATTCATAATTCTATTATTACTTTAGAAAAAAATTGAAATGTTCGAAGTCGATTTTTCAATATCCGCCTGACTGTCAAACCAGCTAAAGACTTCATTTCTAAACCACTCCGATAGCTGTTAGTGATAGCTCATTATATTGTTTACAAGCGTACAAAAGCATTTTGGTGAGAATTTTCCAGAAAAAAAGTTATTCGTGATGGAATTTAAGCAAGATAGTGTGATTTCTTTATATTTGGTTGGAAAATGACAAGTGGCTATCCTTAGAGCACTCCAGAATTTAAATGTGAATAAATCTTTTGTGTCTCGTACCATCGCTCGTTATCATGATACAAGTAGCGTAGCCCGAGGAAGGAAGAGGACAGAGAAAACAGCGATATCAAGAGAAATGGTTCGAAAAGTAAGGAAGCGACTTGATCGAAACCCGAGTCGCAGTGGCCGAAAAATGGCTCGTGAACTGAACATATCGCAATATTCCATTCGGCAAATATTGAAAAATAAGCTCGGGATAAAACCATTGAAATTTGAAAAAATTCAAGAACTTATGCCGCGACAGAAAGAAAATGGACTCGAAAGAGATAAAGAGTCGCTTCGATTGACCAAAAGCCATGAACTGGCGAATTTGGTTTTCTCCGATGAGAAAACATTCGTTGTCCAGCAGTTTGAAAACAAACAAAATGACCGTATTTACTTGCCAAAGAGGTCAGCTGAAAATGCGCACCTTCGGTTGGAGACCAGAATTCAAGCGCTAGCCTTGGTGATGTTGTGGGCCGCCATAACAGCCGATGGTCGCTCTCCACTCGTATTAATCGGCCGTGGCATCAGAACAAATGCCGAATATTATCGCGAAAATATTCTGGAAATTTTTGGCCGCAGACCTTGGAAATTCCAACAGGATCAGCACTATCGCACTCAGCACGCGCCACCCAAGAATGGTTGCAAAATAAGGTTCCTCGCTTCATTTTTAGCGCATAATGACCACCAAAATCTCGGGATACTAATCAGTTGGACTATTGTGTCTGGAGTATTGTATTGGAAAGCAAGGTTGGCAGTAAAAAATACCGAATTGTCGATCACCTAAAGCAAGCGTTTCGCCTGTAATGGGCCAAAATGCCGCAGAGCAACATGCGGGCAGCGTATTACGGTTTCATTGGCTGTTTGAAGGCCATAATTCGTGCTAAAGGTGACCAATTTAAACAAATCTAAAATTATTCTAAAAGTTGATGCTTATTTCGACATTTTTTGCTTTCAATTAATAAAATTGTAAAAAAAAATGGAAAAATTATGGCGTTTGAATTTGTTGCTGTTTTTTATCTCACCCTTTACATCCGAGTTAAATTCTATCAACCTACTTCATTTCGTTCGCTAGAGTGATTCGTCAAAATCGTCATAGAATTTTATGCTGCCTAAAATGTATATTTCGATGTATATTTCCATGCTATGGTGGAGGGTATAAAAAGGAAATATTCAATATTAAATGCAACTTCATCATTTTCCCTCCATGTAGGGTAAATATTAACCTCTCTTTCTCATCATTTTGATATATTGTGCTCAGTTTTCAACTATAAATGACTTCAAAATAAAAGAAGAAACATCCGATGCCTTATGCAGTTCGGCACACTTAGTTATGTGCCTATGAATTTGAAGTCCACTGAATATAGCATTTAAGGAAGTAATCAATATTACAAAGAAGTTCTGTACTAAAAATGTTAAAATGAGATATATCAGTTCAAGTTTTCGCATAGCCCCCCTATAACGGTACCTCTCGATATTCGGTATTTTGATGATTTTTGCTACATTTTCCCACGGATTTGTCATAAAGTTTGTATTTGTATGTCATAATGGGTTCTAACTCCTGTGTCGGAACATTGTATAAGTCCACGTTTTTTATATAGAAGAAAATGTTTTCTTTTCTTCCAATGGTGGATGGTATTAAAAGATCGGCCCGGCATAACTTAATGTTTTTTTTTACTTCTTTTATATAGGAATATTCATATTAACATTTTCATTCTTTGCGTCACTGTATATTTCTGTTGACGGTTATTGAAAATTTTCAGCAAGCCACAAATAAACAAGAAAACAAGTAGACATTTTTCACTTTTATTTTGTCAAATGTAAGCGGAGATGTGGTTGTTGTTGCTGTCGTTGTCTTTTTTGTTGTTGCCGGTCTTGTCAACGCCCAAAATTGCTGAAATGTAACGAATTCCATTGGCTTGAATGAAGGAAGACAAAAATGAAGACAGCAGAAAATTACATTTGATGTATTGTGTGACATATAACGGCAGATACGATGTCACTTTTGTGTTATTGCTATAATTTGCCATTGCTTGTAAGTTGAATTCCCCTCCCCTCCCCGCTACCATCAAGGATTTTTAAAACAAATTAAAGAACGACACAAAAAATGGTAAGAACGCTTCTGGCTGATAATTTTTAATTTCTGATTTTTCTCCGCTAAAAGTCTTTTATATAGGTCTGCAATTTAGTATATCCCCTAAAACTTTATCATATTATTGTTGGTGGTTTGAAGATTTTTGTCACGATTTCCGACTAAACTTGCTGAAACTTTAAATTTAGGTGTTTCAGCTTTTTCGAAAACTTTCGATACATTATTGGTCATTTCTTACATAATAGTACTACCTGCTTTTCTGTATTTTTAAGTTTTCAGCTAAAATTTTCAAATATATGATTTGCCAAAGTTTCGACTTCAATATAAGAAGGGTAGGCAAAGCTCAGTTATAGCGTAACCCTCTTATTTTCTCTCATTATCTCAAACTTTGCATGAATGTTTTCAAATCTTAGAAAATAATATCAGGGCTTTAGAACGAATACTTCGACTTTTACGGATTTTAAAGCGATTTGATTTTTGGGGGTGTGACATAAAAGTTAAGACTTGTGACTGGCTACAGATGTTACGCATCATTGAATACACAGTAATGTGCCTCAACAAAATAGCGTTGTAGGCCTTCATATTCCAATGATTGAAATAACTTTCAAGACATTTACCTGCCATCGATCAATATGTCTGGTTCAAACTTTACAAACTGTTATTTTTATACCCTCCATCTTCAAAAGGAGGGTATATTAACTTTGTCATTCGGTTTGTAGCATCACTAAGTAATTGCCGTAGACCCCATAAAGTATATATATTCATGATCAGCATAAAATTCTATGTCGATTTAACGATGTCTGCCTGTCTATCTGCCTTTTAAAATGACGGTACAGCCCATATTATTTGACGTAGAACTTCCAAATTTGGACAATTTGAATTTTGTCTAGGATGGTTGCTTTTGAAAACGATATATGAAGGGCTCACAGCTATACCGAACTAAGTCATAAAAACATAATTCCAAGATATTTAGAGGTAAAGTAAATGTACTGCAATTAATTTCTGGAAGCAATATTTTAGTCTACCAAAAGAAAATGTAAAAGTCTATATTCAAAATTAACTAATGATATAAAGTTAAAAGAAAAATAATTTAAATATATTACTAAAAAAATATTCAAAAACAAAAAACCTGCTTTGGTTCGTTATTACTCTGAATAAAATTTGAAGGTTTTACAGCTAAAGCGAACCAAGTCAAAAAAATAAATAAATTGTTCATTTTATTACTAAATATAGTTGATGTTCCGCTTGTAATAAGCAACTGATGTTGATAGCTTTGGAAAAGGCAATGCTTTTTTAATGTCGAAAGTACAGAAATAGTGCTCATCAGATGGCACTTCTGTATTCAGTGAGTCTCGAGCTAGCTGTGCTGCTTTTATGTGAAGTTCCTTTTGCCAAATTAAATTTGTATTTTCGTCTTCATCGAATTTTATTTTCATGTTAAGTTCATCACATATACGAAAGTTATCCTTATTCGGTCAGTGCTCCAGTGGTCCATTCCAACAAGTACCTCCCCCACAAAGGGTAAAAATGTTGAATAATTATAACTCTTATAAAATGTGATGAAATTTTCCGATTGTGTTCAAATTACACAGATCAGAATATTTTTATTAACCCACGCTCTGCTGTGAATATGGAATATATCGCTCCACTACCTCTGGTATCATCCCCACAAAGGGTCAACATTTTGAATATCCATGAAGCTCATAAGACGCGATATTATTCGATTTCATTCAGATTGGGTACATTTAAAAATTTCCTTCAACACAAGATCTGTTATAAAGATGGTAGAGATCGGACCATTTCTTCTGGTACCTTCCCACACAGGGTTCAAGATTTTGAAAAACAAAACTGAAAGAAAACGAAATAATCATCCAACTCCCTTTAGATTTCACACATACAAACATTTTCGCTAACACAATATTTGTTGTGAAGATGGAATAAATCTGCGAACCCCTTCCGGTGCATCACCCACAAGGGGTCACAATTTTCAATGCCTTTATCTGTCATAACTTGCGAAACAAGTCGATGATTATTTATGCTATATCTAAATATTTCTCTCAACCAGAAACATGAGATGAATATGGAATAATGTACGATTTTCTTGTAATTGTGCCATACTAATATTTAATGTGTATTAGGAAAAATAATATCAAATAAAAAAGCAGTAAGTTCGGTCGGGCCGAGCTTTGAATACCCTCTACCATTTGGAAAGGATTTGGATATTAAAAAATACTTTTAAAAAATCATTAAAATACCGAATATAGAGAGTTATCGTAATATGGGGGTATATACGAAAATGTGGACCTGCACAGCCAAGTTTTGTCATAGTCCATTACAATATTCAAATAGGAAACTTGAAAAAATCCGGTAAATAATATCGCAAAAACATCATAATACCGAATACGAAATATGAAAAAAATTGGTGAATAATGTCATTAAAATCATCAAAATACCGATCATTTCCAATACCAAAAGCCCTGTAGACCAAACACACATCTGAGTAAATTTTATCAACCTACTACAAACGCCTCGGAAGCAAGAGTGATTTCCACAGATGGATGGACATCACTAAATCGACATTGAATCATTGCTGATATCTATATATACGCTGATTCAAAGTGAAACACACTGACTTGGTTCATTTTTGCTTTGAATAAAAACGAAAATGACAGTCGTGGACTTAGGTTTTTTTAACGTTATCTTTGGAACGAAACACTTTTTAACATTGTGCTTTACAGAGTAAACAGAGTTGCCATATGCGGGGACATTGGCACTAGTTTCGGCATTTTTTATTTTTCATGACTTGGTTCGGTATAGCAGTGAGCCCTCCATATATCGGTCAACATTTTGGTATAGCTGCCATAGAACGATATCTCCCAATATTCGTTATTTTTATGATTTTTGCCGCACTTTTTCAACGGATTTGTCTTAAAATTTTGTATTTGTAATTCGTAACGGGTTCTATCTTCGGTAGCGAAATATTGTATGTATAGGTCCATGTTTTTGTGTAGCCCCCATATAATGGTACCTCCCAATATTCGGTATTTTGATGATTATTGCTACATTTTTCCACGGATTTGTAAAAAAATTGGTATTTGTAGTTCGTAATTGGTTCTAGCTTCGGTGGCGGACCAAAGTATATACACAGGGTGATATAAAAAAACTGCAATAAAGTCAAACGTCATATTTTTTATATATATTTTTTAAATTTTATTGAACGAAAGCAAAAAAATGTCGGAAATTGCATCAAATTTTAAAATAAGTTTAGATTTGTTCGAATTGGTCACCTTTGGCACGAATTATGGCCTTCAAACTGCCCAAATATTGTTCTGCGGTCCATTCCCGGCGAAGAGTTTGTTTGAGGTGATCGACACTTTGGTATTTTTTTAGTGCCAACCTTACTTTCCAAAATACTCCAGACTCAATAGTCCAACGGATTTGTATCCGGAGATTTTGATGGCCATTATGCGCTGGAAATAAAGTGAGGACCCTCATTTTGTAACCATTCTTGGGTGGCGCGTGCTGAGTCCTGTTGGAATGTCCAAGGTCTGCGGACAAAATGTTTGCTTGCCCAAGGCTTTAATACACCCTCCACAATATTTTAGCGATAATATCTTCACTTTGTAACCATTCTTGGGAGGCGCGTGCTGAGTCCTGTTGGAATGTCCAAGGTCTGCGGACAAAATGTTGTCTGTCCAAGGCTTTGATACACCCTCCAGAATATTTTCCCGATAATATTCGGCATTTATTCTGATGCCACGGCCGATTAATACGAGGGGAGAGCGACCATCGGCTGTTTGGCGGCCCACACACCATCACAATGGCCGGCGCTTAAGTTCTGGTGGCCAAACGAAGGTGCACATTTCCAGCTGACCTCTTTGGCAAGTAAACACGATAATTTTGTTTGTTTACAAACTGCTGGACAACGAATGTTTTCTCATCGGAGAAAACCAAATTAGGCAGTTCACCACTTTCGGCCAAGCGAAGCAACTCATTAGCTTTTTTAAGTCTATTTTCTTTCTCTTGCGGTGTTTGGAATTTCAATGGCTTTACCCCGAGCTCATTTTTCAATATTTGCCGAACGGAATATTGCGATATGTTCAGCTCACGAGCCATTTTTCGGCCACTGCGACGCGGGTTTCGATCAAGTCGCTTCTTTACTTTTCGAACCATTTCTGTTGATGTTGCTGTTTTCTTCCGTCCAGTTCCTCGACGTTCGGCAACGCTACCACTATCACGGTGACATGCGATGGTACGAGACCCAAAAGATTTTTTCACATTTAAATGCTGGAGTGCTCCAACGATATCCACTTGTGATTTTCCAGCCAAATATAGAGAAATCGCAAAATCACGCTTGAATTCCATCACAAATAACTTGTTTTCTGGAAAATTCCCATCAAAGTGGTGGGATTCCCGAATGGCTTAGAAATGACAACAGTCTGAAGTTGGTTGCAGTTTTTCATCTTAACCTGTATTGGGAGGTACCGTTATATCGGAGCTATACGAAGACCTGGACCTGCATAGACAATTTTCGGTCACAGGCTGTAGCATCCATTACGAACTTCAAATACGACATCCCAAACAATTTCGGTGAGCATTTTTATATAAAATAGTATAATCTTTATATAAAATAGTATATTATAAACCAGTAAAGAAAGTCTTAAAGTTGGGCGGGGCCGACTTTATGATACCCTTCACCACTTTGCTAAATTGGTAGAGCTCCGCATAACAATTAAACGTTTTTATGGGAGAATTCAATCATACTCGCTATGATTATAATTATAATTTAAAGTTCAAAGGACTAAATATGCCGAAGCATTTGTATTTTTTAAATTCAGACTTGTATTGCCCATTTGGTGCACAATTAATATGAAATCGGATAAAGATGTATATGGGAGCTATATCCAAATCGGAAGCGATCTTCATAAAATTTGGCAAAGATATTTCTGAGTTTTATTTTATATATTTCCCTGAATATCGTTGTTACGGAGTGCATATTACGGCTGTGGGTAACAAGT